AAACGTTCCATCACCCTTCAGATATCATTTTTCCTTAAATTATCGATTATAAAAATCATGGCGGTGTAATCTCAATGTATCTCAATGTTTCTTTCTCTTGCTCCCACCTTATTAAACTTATGTATTTATTTATTATTATTATTATCATCATTACAGCTACCTGAATATTTATTTTAATATTTTTTTCGCGTTAATAATATAAATTTTAATTTAATTACAATTAAAATATTTAAATGAATTCATTGAGGGGACGACTAAAAAAGGAGGGAAAAAATTATTTTTTTTGTTAAAAATATTAATAATAATAATAATTAATAATAATAATAATAATAATAATAATAATAATAATAATTTTTATGATTCGATATATATATATATATGTGTGTGTGTGTAAAAAAAATTTTGTTCGTGGAATTAGAAAAAAATCAGGTTTAAGTAAGACAATACTAAATTTCGTTTATTTTTCAAGTGACATGTTTTTTTGTTTGCATTGATTTGTCGTTTGTTTGTTTGTTTGTTTGTTTGTTTGTTATCGAGGGGGAGGGAAATGATAATAAAAATTTTTAGAAATATTTTAATTTGATAAATGAATTTTTCTTGTTTAAATTTCATTATCGATTTTATTGACAATTATTGACAATAAAGATGGGTAATAAATAGGCTACAAATCTCATCCCTTTAATAAAATGTAAAAGTTTAAAAAAGTGTAAACAAACAATTGGTGGTCGTTTAAAAAGTGTTAATTAATTTAATATATATTTTAACCCCCTCCCCCCTCAAAATTTCTTTTTTTTTTATCGGAAATACTCAAACCGTCATAAATTTTGTACCTGAAGTGACGCCGTCTGAAGGTTTAATATATCGAAAACCTTTTTTTTAAAAAAAGAGAAATTTTTCCAAATCGTTTTTTTCTTACTACTTATTAATATCTTCCGATAAAGGAGGGTGGAGGGGGGGAAATATCACCGTAAATTTTTATTTATTACAAAAGATAAATAAATTTGTGTACCTTAGGTTTATAAACGAATAAGGTAATCAAGGTAAAAGGTATTGTAATGGGGGGAGGTAATAAAAAAAAAATTATTGAAATCCACTTCACAACAATAAAAAAATTGTTATAAAAAAAAAAAAAAAAAATTTAAATTTGTTTGTGGAGAAATCACAGGTATATAATAAGGTATAGGTAAATGAAACCTACTGGTGTTGTAATTTAGGTTCCATCGATTTTTTTTTTTGGTATTTAAACCGCTTAAAAAATTTTCCTGTCGTATTTATAAACAAAATTTGTTTATTAAAAAAAAAAAAATGGCGTTGAAAGTTATAATTTTTTTTTTTGTTAATGATCATTTGAGGTTTTATTGCAAAAAGAGAGAGAGAGAGAGAGAGAGAGATATGATTGCAATTTTTTATATAGCTCAAAGGTATTTTTAAAAAATTGAAAATCTCAGGTACAATTATTATTTTCTTATAGTTTTATTAACCGACGTATTCGATATTTGCGGTTTTAATTCGTCGTCTAAAAAATGCATTTAAATAGTATAGAAATTATTTACGGTTAATATTTATATATGTATGTATGTATGTACGCTCACGATTTAAATAACCTTTTCGATAAAAAAAAAAAGACAAAACGTGTATTGATGTGAATGAGGAGGTGCATGAGCGTGAAGAAAGCGAGGGTGGTTGTTTTAATCATGTTTTGAGGCCAAATCAAAGACGACCCACCTTGAATATTCAAATAATAAATAAATAAATAATTATTCACGTCAGGTTTTTCTGTTTGTTTGTTTGTTTCTCATAGTCAAGTGAAAGTTTTTTTTTTTTTTTTTCTAAAAAAACTCCGCCATATTTATTAAAAAAAAAAAAAATATATTAATGAGATTTTATTTATTGAACTTTATCTTGGTAAATTTTCAATATGAAAATTTGTTGTTTGTTGTTGTATATGTATACCGGACGTCATCGGTTTTAAAGTTAAAAAAAAAAAATAAAAAAATAAAACAACCGATGAGTCTCGTTTGTAGGTCGAGTTTTTCGTTTGTTTGTTTCCACGTTCGGTATTTGCATTGAAAATTATTAATTTGCAAAATTTTTCATTCAGGTTTTTTTTTTTTTTTTTATTATTATTTCGTGAGGCATGCAAGTAACGTGAAAAGATAATGAATTGCAAATGTCGGAGGGAAGTGTAGGCAGGTACGTGAACGGGTGGGAGGGGGGAGGAGAGAGGGGGGGCGAAAAAAGAAATTTTTTTGAACGAGTCACGCCAGGTTTTGACAAGATTAATAGAGACTTATCTACGATAGGAAAAAAAATTATATTCAAACGATTTATTATTAAAATATTCGATTTAAATAAAAAAAAAAACCATAGAGTTGTAATAAAGGGCGTTAATAAATTTTCTCATTTCAAAACTTGCCCCCTGATATAACAACCACAACAACAAACAACAACCGATTTTTCAATATTTTGTCAAATCGATCTATTTCTATTCTGTCACATTAATCAAACATGTTTTTTTTTTTTTCCTTTTTTAATACCTAAATACTGACGAAATAAATATTTAACTTTTAAAAAATTTTTTTTTATTTATACATAACTCGTGCAATAATTAAACTTACATCCGCCATTTAAAAAGTTTTTTTAATAATGTACATAATTTTCAATTAATTTATGTCGTTTTGACTTTCGTTGCATTTAAAAAAAAAAAAAAAAATTTAACAAACGTCCTCATGGCATAAATTAATTTTATTTTAGGCGTTTAATGAATGTATCACACATCATAATTTAACGCCTTCGTAAACCTCCTACTCAAAACGCATTAAAAAAAAAAAAACATTTTTCTATAGTTTTCACGTCTCTGAAACGTGTGGGTGGGTGGGAAGGGGGGGGTAAGGAGGAGAGGTAAAAGGAAGAAAAAGCACTCGATTTTTTTTTTAAGGGGGAGGAGGGAAAAGAAGAAAACTCGAGAAAAAAAATAAAAAATTTTTTTTATTTTTTACAAATTATATTTTTAAATAAATTTTATAATTTAATTAAATAAATAAGTTATAATAATAATAATAATTAAATAAATTAATTCATTAAATACTAAAATTTCATTCGCGGTTGTTTTTATGACGTCATCATAACGGAAAAACAAACAAAATAATAATAATAAAATTAAAATAATTTGATAAGAGTATTTTTTCAACTGATACGAATTTCCATTGAACGTCACAAATTAAAAAAATTGTTGTTTGTTTGTTTATGTATTGATTGTTTGTTTTTTTCGATGAACCTATTTGAAAATAATAATAATAATAATAATAATAATGACGACATCAGCTAAATTTTTATAAAAACATAAAATTTCATCGTAATTGTGTTTAACCTAAAAAAAAAAAATAAATAAAAACAAATTTTAAGCATCGTAAGCAAATTTATATCCTGTTTGTTGTTTGTTATGTCAGAATGTGTTTGTGACGTCAAACTAAATTCGTATCTAAATAAGTTGTTTGTTCGTAGGGTGTCCCATAAAATTTATCCTGAGCTTCCGTTAAAGATTTTATATAATCCCGTATGAGCAACCTTTGCTCTTCTTCCTGTCGTGCCTTTTCCCTAATTTTATCCAATCGATATTCTATCGGTGTTTTGGGTACGTCATCGAAACCTTTTTCTTCTATGATTCCTTGTTCAACGGGTCCGACGACTTGTGGCCAAAGGAGTGCAATAGCCGATGACAAACACCTCCTGTGCCTTTTATTTCCTCTGTGTTGATCGTTCATGGGTATATCCAACGGTGAAAATTTCAATGATGGATTTTCCCGGAAATTAAACGATTTCGCTTGTCGTTTTTTAATCCCTGTTATCCTCCCCCCATCCGTGACTGTAAATAATTAAATAATTCATTTAAAAAACAAACTCGTTTTTGTCGCCGCCATTTTGTCATACTCCGAGACGCGTTTACCTACCTTGTAAAAAAAAAAAGAAAAAAATTATAAAAAATTTTAACGCCATTTTATATTAATTATTATTATTAATAATAATCCGTTTAATACTTTTGATGTGTATTAATTTGATACCGACAATTTTATACGCGTTTTATTGGTTGTCAATTGTTGTTTGTTGTAATAATTTTTTTTTTTTTGATTTCAAGTACGGAAAACAAGGAAGGAATTAAATAAAGGATGAATAATACAATAATAATCAATGCCTTGATTTTGAATGTCGTTTGTTTGTTTGTTAGACAATCAATCGCTAACAATATTATTATTATTATCATTAACGACAAATTTTTATTTTTAACAATTATTAATATTTTTTTTTTTTTAATGAATTATCGATGGTAATTTTTGTTATTTTCTTGTTTCGAATTTGTTTAAATTAAAAAGACTTTTGAAAATTTTTCGACTCCCACCCTCTTTCCCCTCATCCCTCTCGCCCCCGTAAAAAATTTAAAATTCGAAAGGAGTTTTTTTTTAAAAAAAAAAAATATAATTCACATAAAAGATGTTGTTGTTCAGATCCATGGCGTTAAACATTTTTTTTTTTTTTTTTTTTATAAACTTGTTTTAAATATCTGATAACATAATTCATTCCGAGTTTAAAAATCTCTCGCAATAAATAATCGTGTGCCTGTAATAATAATTATTATAATTATTATTATTATTAACCAGTTGTATAAAAAAAAAAAAATTATAACGTAAGCAAAACCAATCCGAACCTGATTAAAAAAAAAATAAAACGAAAGTAATAATAATAATAATAATAATAATAATAATAATAATAATAATAATAATAACGATCATTATTTCTACAACAACAGCCTAATATTATTAATTTTACATTTAGTTTTTAATTTTAAATTAAATTGTCGATTTTAAAACATAAAAAAAGTGAGTTTTGGTAGAGTGCCTAAATTATTATTATTATAATTTTATGACTAGGGGTAATATTAATAATAATAATAATAATAATAATAATAATAATAATAATAATATCGTTTCGTAAATATGAATAAATTTATTTTATTAATTGTTTTATACGTCGTTATATTTCAGGGTAAGTTAAAAAAAGTTAAAAAAAACTTTCTAAAATTTTATTTTCTTTAAAATAATAATAATAATAATAGATTTTATGTATCATAATTATTTTTATTTACATAATTTATTAATTAGTTGTACGAATGACGCTTTTTTATTATTTACTTACGGGATTTCGTATTATTTATTTATTTTTTTTTTAAATGAAGAAAATTTCCCGCCAAAATTTAAAAAAAAAAAAAAAATTCGTAATTTTTAATAATAAAGTCATTCGCAATTTAAGTTAGAGAAAATTAAATGTGACGTCATAATAAAAATGACGTAATAGTAATTTGTTAATTTATTATCATTTAGAAAATAATTATCGTGTGTTTAACCCACGTAAAAAAAATTTTTTTTTTGTTTTTAACACAGCGAGGGGGGGATCTTGGATTATTTTTTTTTTATTTTTGTGGGGGATTTTTACGTACGACGCCATTTTTCTTTTTCTCCCCAATTTCGACACTTTAATGATAAATTTTTTTGGTTTGATTTACGCAGCGAGTCATTCTGTCACGAGTAAAAATTGCGAATTGAAAGAAAGAATACATAGAGCAATAAGAGAACTTCCTATTGTCGAAGAACTTAAAAATTCTCATAGGATTCACGGGGGTGTAAGTGGTTCTGGTGCCACGACTTCAACTTTACATAATAAAAGATCGACATCGTTTAAAAGACGTAGTAGAGATACAATACCACAATTGGCTAAAAATATTGAATCATTTTTACAAAAACTTATACCAAATCATGGTTTGGTACAAGATCTTATGGGTTATGTAACGATGCCAAATCCAAACGTTAACAACAGATATCATCATCATCATCTTCAACATTATTGAAAATTTAACGTTTTATTTATTTATTTATTTTCCTTACATAAATAATAATAATAATAAATTAATAAAATAAAAAAAAATAATTTTTTTCTTTTGTGCGTGTAACTTTCCATCCGATACAAAATTTCAAAATTTTTTTAAATGATTTTTTTTTTAAAGTTGCAGACGACGTGTAAATAATAATTAAAATTATTACCACGTCATTTTTCCATATATGAAATAATAAAACGCCTTGAATTTAAAAAAAAAAAAAACGACGATTTTCAATTAATAAAAATAAAAAAAAAATCACTTCCTGGAGTCGAAAACCCTTAAACGTGTCATTTTATATTTTTTCACCTTCATCGTTTATTAATAAATAATAATAATAATAATAATAATGATGATGATGATTTTTCAATGTGACAACCTCGCAAATATTATTATTATTATTACGAAAACATTACACGATTAAAAAAAAAAAAAAAAGAAAAAGAAAACAAACGGAGAAATAAAAACAAATTTTTTTTGTGAAATATTTTTTTTTTTTTATTAAAAAAATATTACGGTAATAATTTTGTGGTTGATTTTGAATTGTGATAATCGGTTTTTTTTCCAAAATGGTAAGTTAATTCGTGATGATAATGATAATAAAACAAATAAGGACATTAACGTGAAATAATTTTTTTTGTTTAGAATTCTCCCAATATGGATATACATATTTGCCATAATTCAGAAAAATCATCAACGGATTCGTGTGCATGCCCACCGGAATATTATTGTGCACAAATATGCACAGAAGGTATTATCATCATCATCATCAGAAGGGGATATTTATCATTTTTGTGATAAAAGACACAAATTTTATCACAAAAAAACAAAAAGGTTATAAAAAATGGTTACGTAAATAGATTACAGCACGGGGAGCTCGAATATATCGTGGCAGCATTTTCCAAGATCCACGTCAAGTCGAAGTCGTTGCGATGATTCAACCGAATCAATACGTAAAAGTTTAACAGAAACACCGATTTCCGTTAAATCATCCGAAGAACACGAAGCGGAACCGGAAACAACGATTGATGATTCGATATCTAAATATCCGATCGTGAGTTTTTCTTTTTTTTTATAATAAAAACAGAAGATGATGATGATGATGATGTTGAAAAGAATTTTTTTTTTTTTAACAGACGGAATCATTTTCTCAAATGAATGCTCATCATTATTTAAACATACGTTACGTAATGCAATTATTTAATTTTTTGATGGGTCATTTGGTATGCAACGAACCCAATAATCCGATTGAATTTTTAGTGGATTTACTTGAAAAATGTTTACAATTTAGAGATTCGTTGGGAGAGCCGCCATTATTATTTACCGAAAATCACGTTAAATCCATGTACAGAGCGTTCGATCCGTTCGAAAGAGGTTATTTAACATTGGAACAATATTTTGAAGGTTTGACATCTTTGGGATTGAATAATGATATGACAAAATTTACGGATAAACCTCCATTGAATCCCGATGGTAACGTCGATGAATCTTTTTTTATTTTCGAAGCGTGAGTTTAATTTTTTTTTTTTCCTGTCCATCCACAAACCTGTCACGAATCCTGCTTTTACAATTTTTGTCTTTTTCCAGTATGAGATGCCTGACGGAAAATTTAAAAAAAATGTTGAGAATTCCAACACTCGTTGAAGAAAATCGTTTGAAATGGTATAAAAAAGTTAAAAAATTACAAATTAAAAAATTGAAAAAATTAAAATGCGAAGAAGAAGAAGCGGGAGTGGAAGAAGAAGAAGAATATAAAAAAAGAAAAGATGGTAAGAAAACAGCGACGACAACTATGAATAGCATCCACGATGAAAAATTTTGCAATTGTTTTGGACAAAAAATAAATCAAAAATACATTTGCCGGTGTCCGAAAATATCTAAAAATCTTCGTCACGAACCTGAACAATTATTTTTCAATAAATAAATCATTATTATTATTATTATCATCATCATTTTTTAATCCATAATGTTTTTCCCTTTTTTTTCATCGATTGTTTTCCCATCGATGACAATTTTAGCTACATACAAAAACGTTTCGTTCATTCATAAAATTTTTATAGATTTTTCACGATGGATAATAATAATAATAATAATAATTATTATTATTATTATTATTATTAACATTAGCGATGGACGAAGAAACATTATAAAAAAAAGTGAATTGGTTTCATGGCGTATTAATAAAAAAGGTGTGGCGGTTTTTAAACACGTGCTAAAAGCGTTGTTATTATTTAATGCGTTCCCACAAAAGAGATTCCTCCCACCGTCAAATCCATTAATGGCTGGACCAAGTTCACCATTATTATTATTATTATTATTATTATTATTTCATTTTTACCTAAGTACCTATAATACACTTTATATTTCCATTTGAAAAAAAAAAAAAAAAAAACTCATCAGACACATATCAAAGGTCTTGAAATTAATAATATTATACCCGCGACATATTTAATATTACATTCCAATTTACTTAGTAATTATTATTATTATTATTATTATTATTATTATTATGTCTAATTGAAGTAATGTAATACGTCACATATAAAATAAGTTATTTAATAGCGATACTTTGCTTAACTTGTTGTTAAAAATTCTTTCTCGCGTTCGCGTTTCTTTTTTTTCTTACCTTACAACAAGTAAATAACGAAAACTCGAGGAAGGAATGAAGGAGATCGAATTACATATAAAAAAAAAAAAAAATTTTTTTTTTTTTGTACTTTGGAGTTTACCAAAAGGATAATAATAATAATGATGATGATGATGAGTGTTCATGAAATAAAAGGCAATGATCTTCAATATGGCCGCCAGGCTGATAAGCGTTGGAAAAAACAAAAACAAAAAAAAAAAACCCGATGTACGATGACTCAGGTGGTCTAATAGGTGTATAAGTATACCTAGTGGCAATAGAAAACAGGTTTCACGTACCTATTTATAGGGACACATTTAAAGAATTTCGATATAAAATCAAACCACTCTCTTAAGAATATACTTACACTACTTTGACATTATGTGACTAGATTTACAACAGTTAAAAACGTAACGAATTTTTTTTCGTAAATGGTTGTCGTGAGTGTGTGAGTGCGTGTGTGCGTCAAAAACTCACAATAAACGAATAAATTTTTTTAAAATTTTTTTGTGAGGGTAAATCACTTGAAAACTAACAAAATTATCAAAAATTGAAAAAAAAAGTTTAACGGATATTATTATTTCCTCCATGTTTTCGGTAACAATTTTTTTTTTTGACTTATTTACAAAACGTACCAATTTCACATATGTTTAACTTATGGGAAAAATAATTTTTTTAAATGAAAAATATGAGTACGAAAATTACCGAACATTTCCGAACGACACGAACCACTTGTTCGTAAATCTTTCGTAGGAGTTGTTGTTGAAAGCTTTCATCTTGATTCCAGTGTAAAACTTTTCGTTTAGTTTGTGTGAGAGTTTGAATTGTTGTATCGAATTTATTTATTTATTTATTTTTTTATTTTATAAATGTTTCGACCGTTTTTTTTTTTTTGGTTATCGTTTTAATTAATCATTGTTTTTTTTGTTAATTGAAAATTTTTATCTTTTTTTTAAATGTGAAATGAATTGATTTAATTGTGGTAAACATGTCCGCAAATTTACCCGGACTCACCGATATAAAAATGACAGTAATGGAATCTTATTATTGTGATTTATGTAAAATAAAAATGGCTTGTGCCGGTGTGATTAATTATATAAATGATTATATATTCGGAATAAATAATTATTCGATTAGTGTAAATAACGAACATAGAAGTTCGCGGGGTAATTATCTACGGCATAAATATCAAAATTCGCTAACGGATTTTTACATAAAAATTTCTTTATTATTTGTGATATTTTTTAATATGGCGTCTGGAAATATAATGGGTGAAAATTGCGATTGGAGCGGAAAGTAAGTTATCATTTTTTTTTTTTTTTTTTACTTAAATTAAACGTTTCTTTATAGGAGAAACATATAAGGAATCCAATTCGTCCTTTTTTTTTAATAAAAATTTATTATAATTAATACTTATTATCGATCGTTATAAAAGAAATTTAATATTTCAATGTGTGTGCATTTTTCATAACTGACCGTTTTAGCGGTAAATTGTAACGAGACGCCATTTTTGTTTTTATTTGTTTATGCTGCGTCAGACATTACTGTCGTAATGATTACAGCTTTATATAATTTTTTTTTTTTTTTTTTATCGTTTGTGTTATCAATTTCAAGAAAGTAATTATTTATTTTAGATAAGATATTTGTAAATTAGTCATTTATCGTTTGTAGATTATTATTATTAACGGAGAAAAAACTCGTTGGAAACTTTGTAAGTTTGAATTCTTATATTAAACAACTAACTTTTCAGTTATTGTTCATTGGATTATGTTTTTGTTTTATGTTTTTGTATTACATGGCGAAATACTATAATTCTTTCATTATAATAACTTTATTTAAAGGTTAAACAAACCACGAATTGTATAAATGATAATATTATAAAAAACATGGAAAGTAATTGCAAGGTGTATGATTTGTTTGAAAACATTTGGAAAACATTACATGAAGGTAACATAATGCAAGATATTGTATTGCATAATGTTTTAAAAGTATTGAAAAACATTCTAGAACTTTGATATGGAACCTTAAAATTGCAAAAACAAGGTTTTGGTAGCAAATGGAGTAATCAGGGAGGTAATATTATTGACAAAATTTTACTTATCAGTAAACTTGATGTAATTTAATTGATTGTTGTGCATGCACAAGAATGACAAACACATGTCTGATAACGATAATGGCATACCTCGTGCAAATCAATATCAAAACAAGGATTTAAATTGATAAAATATTATTGTACCTGCAAAACGGTGGCAAACAAGGATTTGATTGTATTTCTTGTATCAAAAATGACAAACCTCGACATCACCCATCAAAAAAAAAAAAAAACATAAAAATTTAATTCGAAAATTATTAGAAGAATTTAACAGAAAATTTTATTGTTGGCGCATATGTATATTTGATACTTTAAAAAAAAATGTTTTGTGTGTGTAGAATTTGATTCATTCTACCACCTGCTATTGCTTTTTTGACACCGACTCACAATAAAGAATAAAATAATAATAATAAAAACGAAAAAGAGTAGAGAGGGAAGGATAAGAAACGTTTGAATAAGATGAGAGAGAGGTTGTAAACTCGGTTCTCAAATGAGAAGCTGTCTTGAAATTTTAAAAATAGAAAGGGATGATGTCACTCCCTTAGAATAAGGGGTAGGTAGCCATTACCGTCGAGTTGTTTATTCATGGCAACCATTAACGACCCTTATTGGAAATAAGGAATTTACCACCATCAACAACTTCACAGGTGAAAACTTAAACTTGCAGAAGAGGGTGAGGCCTGACTGAGTGAGGTTCGCATATTCTATTTCATTTCTAAGGGTTGGGGTTGAATTTTTTTTTGCATTATGTAGAAAAAATTATTAATTATTTCCTTTTGTCGTTCTAAACGATCCGTGAACGTTTTTAAAAAATAAAAAATTTAATCGAGTTTTACATTTTCATCAGTTAAGGATAGAGAGAGAGAGAGAGGGAAAATGAGTTCCAGTTATAGAGAATTGGGGCCCTTCTTTTTTGTTTATAAACATTCTCTGATAAGAAATCAAGTCTCATTCTTATTCCACGATCAATTATTATTATTATTATTCGTATACAATTCCATTCAGAAAACTTTGTGACCACTCATTCAATAACAAAATTTTATGCATTCGAATTTTATTTTTTCTTTTATGCACACACACACACAGAAATAGTCATTTATCTTGTTTAGAAAATAATGCCTGAGTGGACAACAATAAATAATAACCACACACACACACACACAAAAAAAAAAAGAAAACAAGTTTTTGAGTCTCCTTTTTAAAATAGAAGGTTCTAGAAATTGTTTATATTTACAAATACATGGTTGTGAAAATGAAAATTGATATTTATGTTGTTTAAATAAGACAAAAAAAAGCAACATTCACCTCCTCCAAAATTTTATGTTTTTTTTGTCTGTTTGAACACATTTGTTGTTGCTGTTGCTGTTTGATAAAATTTTTTTTTAAATTTCGTAATCATTTTTTTTTTTTTTTTTTTGATTTCGACAAAATTTTTATGTATTAGCACATGATGATGATGACGAACATTATTTTCACACGCACAATACTCTCATAACAAATTTAATATAATAATAATAATTTTTTTTTTTATGTATTTAATCACATTTTTTCTCACGTGACCAAAGTATGTATTTTTTGAATGTTTCGTATAAGAATTGTGGTGAACCGCTTTTTAATTATCAGTTTGCTGTAGGAATAACTATGGGAAAATCTTTTTATCAATATTTCCAACAGCGTGTCGTGGAACCAGATTAAAATTATTTGTTTTTTTATTATTATCAATGAATTAAATGTGTCGTTTTTTAAATTTTAAAATTTAACTTTAATATTTAAAACACGTGAAACCTCAAAAATTATTATTATTATTATTATTATTTTTATTCTTAACACAATGGAAATTATCAAAAACGTTTTTTCGTGCGTTATTTTCAAAAAAAAAATGATTGAAATCGATCGGATGTAATTCTTATACAGAAGCAATTCAACCTTAAAATCATGGCGGCATATTTTCAATTCGTGCCTTACCTACGCGTCGTGGGTATTTTTAAGTTTTCGGTACCTTTTTTTTCTTTCTTAAATCCCCTTATTATTATTATTATTTCATTCGTTGTTGTTCAGTTATTGAATTTTTCGATGTGACTTTTCCCTCCCCCTCCCTTTTCCCTTCAATCCGGAATGAATTTTTAATCGGACAATAATTTTTTACGGTTATTATTTTTTTTTTTTTTTGGTAAAGGTTCCACGTTTAATTTACAAAAAGTATAATAGGATGTCGTGGAAAGAGTAACCTTTCGAAATTATGAATTTCGTGGCAATAACTTTCGTGGTTATAAAAAAAACGTGGTTATTGTTTCGCCTTACTACATTTTTTCTTTACCTTCGAATTAAATTTATTTATTTATTTAAATCGATAATTAAATTTAATTGATTAAAATTATCACAAAATTATTATTTTAAAAAGGAGAATAAAATTAAAATCGTGATTTTCTTATTACACGATAATTAGTCGATAATTAAAAAGTATGGAGGGGAGAGACTGAGTTCAATACAACTTTTTCTTTTTTAAATGGATTTCTTTTTAACATTCGAAATCGTTTCTTTCTTTTTCACTCGAATATATTGATTTTGTGTTTGTTTGCACGTGGTTTTCCACATAATAAAAAAAAGAAAACGCGAACATATTGTAAACGATTTGTTTATTGTGGAAAGAGAGACAGAGGGGGGGAGGGAGGAAATACCTGAAAATGGGGGTTGACAAGTATATTTACGATACTTTTTTTTTTATCTAAGGTAACATATAACTAACCATTGTCCATCTGTCAAGGATTTGGTCACCAAAACGAAATCAATTTTTTTTTTGTTTGTTTGTTTAAATGACATAAATAAAACGAAAGCGTTTTTTTGAGGTACCTGTCTCATACCTGTGACACGTTTCCTTTTTATATGAAAACGCGCGTTTTTTAAAAAATTATTTATCGCCGTGTACGTGTTAAATTTTTTTTTTTTTTTTTACGGGTAATAAATATTTAAAATTTATTTATAACGAACGTGTATATTTGAAAACAACAAGTCAACATGTTTATTTCGGGTTGTTGTTTGTTTGTTTGTTTGTTGATAACTGGAGTGAATTTTTCATGTGTTAAATTTTTACATTTCAACGTGGCAACGTGTTAAATTTAATTTTATTATAAAACGGAAAAAGGAAAGAGTAAGTTTCCTTTTATGCAAAATTTTATTTCGCGATATTAAAATAATAATAATAGTAATAAAGAAATTTCCATCGTGTTTTATCGCGGTTTTTTTTTTTTTTTTTGCTTCTTTTCATCGTCGGTTAAATTATACGAAAAATGTTCCAGTTCCATGTTTATCTTTTGACCTTTGTGGTAGTACAAACAAGAAATCATTAATATGGCGGCACAAACAATTGTTGTAACCATAATTTGTGTTCGCGGTTTAAAATCCCAGTCAGTAGTGACTGACCGAACGAGATGACTGGACAATAATTTTGCATTTTATGGAGCGACAATAACGATTAAATATAATTCAAGAGAAGAAATAATAATAATAATCATCAATCACCTGGAAAATAAAAAAAAAAATAGCTGGAAAGATGGGTGATTTTGATTAAACGAAAGAAAGAAGAAGGTTTTAAACGGAAATGGTCGCATGCGTTTCGTTTCGTAATCATTTAAAAAAAAAAAAAATTTTGTATTTAAATTCCAGAAATGGATTTTGATAAAATTTTATTTTCCGGTTAAATGAAAACGAACGTCAAATTCCTCCACCGGTTGTAAAAATAAATCTACTTAAACTACCGACAAAATAACAACAACAACAACAAACAACTTCTTTAAGGAAAAAAACAAGATTTCGTTAATGGTTATTTTGTACCTTAAAAAAAAAAAATCGTCAAAATTCATACAAGTCCTTATTATTATTATTATTATTATTATTATTATTAAAGGCGTTTAAAAAAAAATTCTAATAGGCCGACATTACTAAAAATTTGAGTATTTTTCTAGACTATAAAAATTTTAATTGCTGGAGAAAAAGAAAAAAAAATGGACGGGGAGATTTTTTTTTATATTCAATTATTATTATTATAAATCGAGAATATTATTTATTACTTTTTCACTTTGAATTTATCAAAATAAATTTAAATTTAAATTGATAAAAAAATTTATTAATTATTTAGAAAAAAACAAGTTAAGTTTTAATTCACGTCGTTTTTTATATTATTTTTTAATTTATCTCTCCCGTACTTCCAACCGTACGCTAATTAAATTCTTATATAAAATGTATTTTATTATTATTATTATTAATTTATAAAAGGTAGAGAGTGAGAGAGAGAGAGAGAGAGAGAATTACGTTGAGTTTTTTTTTTTTTTTTTTTTACGTAAAAACGAATCGTCTACAAAGGAAATGAAACTGGAATTTTGTTTTTGTTTTTTTGTTTTTTTTGATTCGTCGTCTGCTGCTACGTCATAAATATTTTTTTTACTTTCGCCCTTTTAGTATTGTTTGTTCCGGATGTGTTATTAATGTGATTTTTTAAGTTTGAACAATGATTTTTGTTTGTGTCGGAGATGAAAAGAATATTTTAAATAAAGCAACAAGATAACTCTTAGCAAATAAAGATAAAAAGCCACAAATATGGCGGGTTTTTTAAAAAATATGAAATGGGTCGGAGAAAAGGGAAACAAACAGGAACCTTATTTTGTTGTTGTTGTTTTTTAATTTAAATTTTTTTTTTTTACATATGGCGTGATAACCCCATAAACTAGAAAATTGTGTAATCAAATCGTAATTTATCTCTCGTGTCTAATAATTTGTATAGGAAATCGTTTTTCAAGGTCAGACAATTTAGTTACACACACAGCATCCAATTCTTCTGGACCGGACAGACAAAAATTACTTTGATATCTAACTGAGATTTGAAAAATACATTTAAAAAAAATAAAATATGAAAATTTTAAAAACTTT